ATCTGATTATGCAACCGTAAGGCTAAACAGCAGTGAAATTATTTTTGTGCTCCTGTGACATGTTTCATTTTTCATACCTCTGGGACCTGGATCTCCAAGTTCTCCTGGCAGGCCTCTGTACCCTGGTGGACCTCGGGCACCTGGATGACCAATAGAGCCTGCAACTCCTGGCTTTCCTGGCGGCCCTGGAAGGCCGGGGCGGCCCACCATTCCAGGTGCCAGGGGTCTTCGCAGGTTGGCAGCCAGTTGTGCAACCTGATCTACATGTTGGAGAAACACCAAAAGGTAAAAATCCTGCATTTTTAAAAAAATAATAATAAATTATATATATATATATATATATATTTGACAATAGAATGAGTTACACGTGAAGATTAAATTAGGATCTCTCACCATCAATCATTGGGCCACATAGCTCTCTGATGTGTTGCTCACTTGCCAGTTTACCCTGAAACACCAGATTTGAGGCAGTTTATATGAAACCATTTACATCTATATGTTCTAACCAGGTAGTTTTGTGCAGTCAAAAAAAAAAGAAGAAGAAGAAGAAGAAGAACAGCACACTTACAGGTACACCTCTCTTTCCTGGAAGTCCAGGCACACCCTGTTCCCCTTGGAAGCCCATTGGGCCTTCTTTTCCTGGAAGCCCTCTTCCCCCAACTTCTCCTTGTGGACCCGTCACGCCTTTAGGCCCCAGTTCACCTCGCTTCCCCGGCTACAATCAACAACAATTATCTGTTAAATAACTCATTATGTTTGCAAAAACAAATTGATTTATTCCAAACTGAAGCTGAAAACATCCATAACATTTGATCGCTGACGAAACACCAAACGAGGAGCAAACTGGGTCTGTTGAAACAATGCGAGGGTGGCATCTTGTTGCTTGATAATTACTCCAACTAGCACAGCAAACAGTAAATGAGACTAAGAGAGGATGGCTCATCAGTGCTGTCTCTAATTACATAAATTGTGCTGCAGCTTAATGTTACTCGCCTTTCCCTCGTGGCCATAGCAGCAAACAGGCCAATAAAGCTAAAGCAGCAATACCTATCTCTAATTAATCCTATTAAACATGGAATGTGAGGCTGAATCATGTGCAGTGACTCTGACAAGTAGGCAAAAGCTCAGAGCTAGGTGCCAGTTTTTAATGTTTAGTGAGGGAGCAGAAACAGAGGGAGTTTGGAACAAACTTGCTGCTAATTACACCCACACACAACATCTGATCTATGTTTGGTGTTAATAGATGTTAATAGTTTGGTGATAAAAAGCTGATTTCTAAGATGTAAAAGCACAAAACATTGCAAAATGTAACAGGAAATATAGCTCACCTGCCCTTTTTGTCCAACTGGCCCAAAGGGACCCTGGAAATAAGGACATTGTTTTAGATAATTACAGAACTGTATGCAGCATTCAAACAGTCAAACATTGTTTGGTACAGCATCTTTCATGCAGCTTTGAATAAAAAAAGAGGGGATAAAGACAATAGATAAGAGCCCAAAGTCATGCTAAAATACAGAGAAATACACTATCAGAATAAGTAGATTTAAATAATTGTGTAAAAATATCCATATTTTCAGTGTTTTCTGATCAATTGTCAGCAAAAACTAAAAGATACCTCCCTAAAACTTTTTGTCCAGCACCATAAAACTCGTGTGAAAAGACCCATGGAGCCAAATACACTTGTACAAAACAATGACGTGCGTTAAAGACACGTGCATGTACTTGAGTAGGTGGAATGGCCTTAGCCTCTGTACCAAGAGTACAACTAACTACTGCAAACACAGAAACTGCTCTGTAGGTTACAAACACCGCACAGTGTTAGTATTCAGACAATGACGAAAACACTTACAGGATCTCCGTTCTCTCCTGGTAACCCATCACTTCCTGCAACACCCTGAAATGACAACGTGAGATCTGAACTGCATGTGACATAACTCATAACTGAAGAAAGTCTTTCATCTTATAAGCTTATGAAAAATCTATGTATTTGCAGGACTATACATATAAATTAATCATTTCTTTAGTTTACTTTTTAAAAAGCTGGATGAAAACTATCACAGGACATCAGTGGAGATGTTGATGACTTACCATGTCTCCTTTAGGTCCAGAAGCCCCGACTGGGCCCTATAGGATTGAAAAAAGAGAATGAGAGAATAAATAAGAGGCATGCAGAGATATTTATTGAAGGCCGGCTGGCTGGGAAAAGGTTGGGGGTGGGGGATGAAAGGAAGCACGGTGGGCTGGTTGAGGGGAACCAGGATTGGTATAAAGGCTGGCTTTGTTCTGTCCTCATGTTCTGAACAGGAGGCCACTTTGTGTCTGTGCTGTGCTGCAGTTTGAGTTTATACCACTAAGACTGAGACAGGATGGTAATACAGTGGGATACAGTGTCCTAACGTGAACACAGCTGGACAGTCACACGTCTCCACTGTGATTGTGTGGAGATACGCGGGGACACACCTACACATGTCCATGTTTGTTTTATACTGGGGTTGTTTTTTTTTTTAGCAACAAATAAGTCAGTCACTCCATCACTTTACATTTCTTGCTTTCATATTCTACTTCAGCAGTAAACTGGTCACATTTGCATTTTGGACTACTGGGGTGACAAAATAGACATTTTACGATGTTACAGGGACACCATTCTCCTGAATAATTAAAAACCCACCCTGTCACCAAATTCTCCACGAATTCCCGTTGGTCCTGGAAGACCCGGATCTCCCAAGTCTCCTTTGACTCCCTGCAGCACATGACACAAAATCATTAAATTAAGAAATAATAATAAGAAAAAATGATGATGATAAATCATTTAAAGCAACTACCTGGAAGCCTTTCACTCCCTGAGGCCCAGGGTTGCCCACTGGTCCAATACCTCCCTGTCAGAAAGAGACATAGTCATGTCATTTTTCTAGAAAACATGAAGCACTAAAAAAAAAAAAAAAAGCACTGGAAATTAATGAGGCTTCCTTCTTTTGATTCGGGTAAGAGAAACTAAACAAATGCAGGAGGTCATTATGTGAGGCAGGATTTGTTATGCAGTGCGGTGTGTGATAGTAGGGGTGTTAATTCCGTTGCGAGTTTTATCTTTCTTTCCTTGCCGCAGGCTCTGATGTGAAAAACAAAGATCTCTCTGTTTATAAATTCTTCCCTCATGAATACCTGCTCTCCCTGTAGGTATCGCTCCATAACTCCACCTTAGTAAGTCACTGAATCAGAGAAAAATACTCCTAGCACTCTTGGAGATTATCATTCACATGGAAGGCCAGTGGTTCATTTTATTCCAATTTAGTACCATGTTGTAGACTGCTCCTCGTTTTAGCCTTTTATTTTGGGCTCTGTTAATCCCATTTCTTTTTCAGCCATTGTGCTTTAAAAACCGCCCACTGGTCATTAAAGAAGCAAACTTTAAAGTATTGGAAACGCCTAAGCCTAAATTCTATAAATGGGTTATAATCAAAAGATGTGCAGCAGGAATTTTAATAATGTGGCAGAGCTTATATTGAGGCTTTTTCTGTTTTTTTTTTAGAATAGCAATGCTAGAATTTCAGCAATGCACCAACAGGTAGTGCATGATTTCACTTAATATACAGTGTGATCATTAACTTACCGCCACTCCTCTTGGACCTGCTATCCCCCTCTCTCCTGGGATGCCAATCTCACCCTGAAGAGAAGTGAAAGAAATTGCAGACAAGTCAGAAAAGTTTAGAGAGCTCACCTGCTGGGTCAAGTGACACATTTATTAGACTGTAACTCCCTAAAAGCACCATCAGATACATACAGGAATACCTGGCTCTCCAGAGGGTCCCATCTCCCCGGGCTTTCCTGGATCACCCTGGTGTAAAGGAACAAGAACGTAACAGTTTTCCTCCATGTTTCTAATCATAGTTTTAAAGTTAGAATATATTTTGTGGTGATACTCACAGCTTCTCCTTTAGATCCTTTTGTACCAGCCTTTCCTGGCAGACCCTAGAACCCCCCCCAAAATTACATGAATGTACATAAAAAAAGCACAGAAAGTGAAGGTGATTCTCATGGCAGTGATGAAAGTGGTGATTATTAATAACACTTACAGGAAGGCCATTTGGTCCTTTCTCTCCAACT